ATATATATATATATATAGATAATATAGAATTATAGATCTATAAAAATATATATAGAAAATATTATAAAATTATAGACAATATGAGTAATAAATGAATTACAGAATAACTTGTCGACAGACAGATACATAGTTTATGATAAATAGAGATTCTGACCGGTTGATAATAAATGAAATGAATGGAATAATAATATTAAATTGGAATTATAGAATTGTAGATATATAGAAATATATTTAGATAATATTATAGAATTATAGACATATAGAAATGTATGATATTATAGAATTATAGACATATAGAAATGTATAATATTATACAATTATAGATACATGATATTACAGAATTATAGGTATACAGAAATATATAATACTATAGAATTATAGAAATATAGATAGATATAGATAATATTATAGAATTATAGACATATAGAAATGTATAATATTATAGAGTTATAGACATATAGAAATATATAATATTATAGAATTATAGACATGTAGAAATATATAACATAGAATTATAGATAGATAATATTATAGAATTATAGATATATAGATATATATAGGAAATATTATAAAATTATAGATATATAGATATATAGAAATGTAGAATATAGAATATAGAATATAGAATATAGAATATAGAATATAGAATATAGAAATATAGATATATAGAAATATATAATTATAGATATATAGAAATTTATAAAGAGTAGCTTGATTAGGTGATAATAAATAGAATAAATCAAACAATGATAATAAATAGAATAAATAGAATGACGATAAGTGAAATTAATATTTAATAATAATAAATAGAGATTCTGATTAGTTGATAATAAATGAAATAAAGAATAATAGAGTAATAATGTTAAATTGGAATAGAATTATAGATATATAGAAATATATAGATAAAGAGTAGTTTTATTAGTTGATAATAAATAGAATAAATAGTTATTTACATAATACTATAATAGTTACTTGATATATTGGGAAACGGATTATGGGATTTAGAAACCTCGTTGCGAATTCTCTAAATTTCTAGCCTACATGTACAAATGCAAAAAAACATGTAAATTTTAATTTGACAAGCTAACACTGAAGCACATAGTATATATGTCGTACATAAGAACGTGACAAAAGAATTAAAAAAAAAAAAAAAAACATAAAGGAAAAGCAACTAAAAACAGTAAAATGTCTAAGTGGCTCCATAAAAAACCTACTTGATTTGCGCTCGGTGTTGAATATAATTTCAGCGAGAGCTCTCTCGACGTCGCTGAACGAAACACCGTTCGCCACAGCTTCCACATTTCCAATCACCCTTGAAAGCCGGCACTTGTGTTTCCGCGCGAACTTCAGCGACCACAGTTCGCCGCGCTGAAACCACAAAACAATGCTTCGTAAAGCTGCGTGTTCCTTTCTTCGTTGGGATAGGCCATCGCGTTCTATCGCACGGATACTCGTCCCCTCGATAATCATCCACGAGTGAGCGAAGCAGCTCCATCGTCTTTCCTCGCCTCGCTTTTTCATTATCTCGGTACACGTTTCGCCTAGAGAGCTGGGGTTGGTTGATATAGCCAGCGGCAGCTGGTAACTTTCGGATGGCCTCTCTTCACCGGCATAAACGGCCAGAAAACGACCTGTACGTTCCGTATTTTGCGTAAACGGATATCTCTCAGTCGGCTGATGCATGGCGGACCCGGTGGAAACGTCAGAAGTTAACAATGCCAAGGCTTTTTGCACCGGTGATTTAGAGCCGCGTGGCTGCCGCTTCGTGGGCGTGCGCGCATTTGTCCTTACTCGCGTGCACGTCTCCTCGGCAACACGGTACAAAGCAGCCCCGTGTACAGATGGAGAACAACACCGTCACGGATTTTTCGTTTTCTTGTTTCTTAGACGTTCGTGCGCTTTGTTCCCTTTTCTCTCTCTCTCTCTCTCTCTCTCTCTCTTTCTTTCTTTCTTTTTCGGGCGGAAGAATTTCAGTGAACATTTCCACATTTCTTTTCTGCCTCGAGACGCACGTGCATTCGAATGACAATGCACACCCAGCAGCCACCTTCGAATTTCGTGGTGTTTTGCACACGGCTGTCCCGAATCTTAACGTTCAAGCTTTGTTCAAATCGTGCTGTGCCAAGTCAAGTGGGCATATATCTGATCGAAAGTGGCTCGATGAAGGACATTAGAAAATTATTTCGATATTTAACGATCAGGCATCGAAATTTCGATACAAATGTAAACTTTTAGACCTTCGTTTAACCTAAAAACTTAATGCAGTTAAGATTTTTTTATTATATATATATATTCTTGTACTAGTTGACAAAAGTTACAGACACGCCCTTTTCATTTAAAAAAGAAAATTTTTGCCATATGCAAAAATATTATTACCAGAGGTTACTATATTATTACTGTATTACTATATAT